CCCTTCTCTTCTTCAGACTAAAACATGCCCAGCTCTTTAAGCCGCTCCTCATAGGGCTTCTTTCCAGACCCTTGATCACTTTAGTTGCCCCCCTCTGAACACTTTCCAGCTTGTCAATATCTCTCTTCAGTTGTGGTGCCCAAAACTGGACACAATATTCCAGGTGTGGTCTAACCAATGCGGAATAGAGGGGTAGCAAGACTTCCCTGGACCTAGACACTATGCTCCTATTGATGCAGGCCACAGTCCCATTGGCTTTTTTGCCGCCGCATCACATTGTTGGCTCATGTTTAACTTGTTGTCCACAAGGACCCCAAGACCTTTTTCACAAGTACTGCTCTTGAGCCACGTGTCCCCCATTCTGTATCTTTTCATTTCATTTTTTCTGCCTAAGTGGAGTATCTTGCATTTGTACCTGTTGAATTTCATTTTGTTACTTATTGCCCATCTCTCTAATCTGTCAAGATCGTTTTGAATTCTGCTCCTGTCCTCTGGAGTATTGGCTATCCCTCCCAATTTGGTGTCATCTGCGAACTTGATGATCATGCCTTCTAACCTTTCAACTAAGTCATTAATAAAGATGTTAAACAAGACCGGGCCCAGGACAGAACTCTGCGGCACTCCGTTTGTTACTTCTTTCCAGGATGAAGAGGAAGTAGCTAGAATGTGTTTGTCAAACAGGGATGTGTTATTGTCCCAACCTTATTTTCCATCTTCATCGCTATGATACTTCATCTTGTTGATGTGAAGCTTCCCACCAGAGTGGAAATTATCTGTTGGACAGATGGCAAGCTATTTAACCTCAGCAGACTGAAAGCCACAACCAAGGTCACAACAACATCTGTTATAAAACTCCAATATGCTGATGACAACGTCATCTGTGCGCATTCAGAAGAAGACCTAAAAGCCACTCTAAACACCTTCGCAGAAATATATGAAAAGCCTGGCCTGTCATTGAACATCGAGAAAACCAAAGTGCTCTTCAAGCAGTCACCAGCCAATCCCTTGCCAATGCCAGAAATACAGCTTAATGGTGTAACATTAGAAAATGTTGACCATTTCAGCTACCTTGGCAGCCACCTCTCCACAAAAGTCAACACTGTCACTGAAATACCGCCTGATCTCTGTGAGTGCAGCATTTTTCCAAATGAAGCACAGAGTGTTTGAGGACCAGAACATCCATAGGGATACTGAGGTGTTTGTTTATAAAGCTATTGTCCTCCCAACCCTGCTATATGCCTGCAAAACGTGGACTATCTTCAGACGTCACATGGAACTCCTGGAATGATTCCATCAGCGCTGCCTCCAAAAAATCCTGCAAATCTCTTGGGATGACAGGTGGACAAATGTCAGAATGCTGGAAGAAGCAAAGACCACCAGCATTGAAGCGATGGTCCTCTGCCATCAACTCCGCTGGACTGGCCACATTGTCCGAATGCCTGACCACCGTCTCCCAAAGCAGTTGCTCTACTTCAAACTCAAGAATGGAAAACAAAATGTTGGAGGACAGAAAAAGAGATTTAAAGTTGGACTCAAAGCAGGCTTTTAAAGAAGAAGGTTTTTAAGATCGTCAGGAGCTGCTGTGATTTTATATGCTTTTTTGATGTTTAATACTGTTTAAATACTTGTTTATTTGTATATTTTAAGTTGTATTGCAATGCTTTTAATGGTGAGATGCTTTTAGTTGTGAGTCGCCATATGGAGAGGAAAAGCAGGATACAAATAAACATAAAAGTAAAGTCCATGACTGAGCAGGGATTTGAACTCTGCTCTCTCCAAGTCCTAATGCAACACCCAAACTGCTATCCCAGACTGGCTCTCATTTATGTTTTACATATGTCTTAGGGTGCATCCAGACAGCCCTTTTAAAGTGGAAGTTCCTGCATTTTACAGATGACACCCCACAGAAAAACAAATTCATTCGCCGTAAACCAGGAAAACCTTGGTTTGTCACGAATTAATTTGTTAGCTTGTTTGTTTCATGCCTTCTTGAAAGGTGCAGGGCAAACCCACTATTTCCGCTGACTGGACCGCTCCCTAAAAAGTTCTGAGCTTTTGAGGAGGCAGTCCAGACTGTAGTCCCATGGTTTTCTGTGCTAAATTAGCCTGTAAAATTGCAAGGACACCACCTCCCAACCCCAAACCTCTTTTAAAAATAAAAGAACTTAATAATAATAAATAATAATAAAACATTATTTATACCCCGCCACCATCTCCCCGAGGGGACTTGGAGCTTACATGAGGCCAAGCCCAACAACACATCAAAAAACAAAAAGCAGTAATCAAGTAAAACAATACAATTAATATAAATCACAAATAAACAATAACACGCAAGGATTTAAAAACCTATGGCCGAGCCAAAAGTAATAGTTTAAAATTTAAAAAATAAACGCTGGGCATAAACAGAGGTAGAATGTATCTGGTAAGAGGGTTTTAAAAGAAATAAAGGGAGAGCAACCCAACGAGTAATTAAAGTGCTTCTGAGGACATTTTGCTGGGAATTATTTCCTTATTCAGGGAAGGCACACTGGAACAGCCACATTTTCAGGTTCCTCCTAAAGACTGCCAATGTGGGGGCTTGCCTGATATTCTTAGGAAATGAGTTCCAGAGTCAGGGAGCCACCACAGAGAAGGCCCTTTCCCTCGTCCCTACCAATCGTGCCTGCAAAGGGGGCGGGAGCGAGAGCAGGGCCTTTCCAGCCTCCATTAGTTTAGTGCCGAAGCTCTCCTAGTGCATAGGAATGACGTGCGAGAAGGAGAAAGGAGGAGAGAAAGCACATAGGAGAAAATGGGGGGTTGCTCCTGGCCCCCCTTTTCCTGACACATCATTCCTACATGCCAGGAAAGCTCTGGCAACACTCTAATGGAGGCTGGGTAAGTTCTTTTATTTTTAAAAGGGGTTTTGGGAAGGAGTTAGGGTGTCTAGGTATTCTCCTGGAAAGTTCTGGGAGTGCATCTGGACACCCAGCCGCAAAAGTACAGGCTTTTGCCGCTGGTATGCGGACTAGAGTCCACGCCGAACCGGGTTTTTTAAAGCTGGGTTGAAGCAGACTTTACCACTGTGTGGAACCGCCCTTAGGTTCACCTATAGAAGTAGATGAGCGCTCTGTTTACAAAACACAAGTGTTCACATCCGTCATTGTAGAAGCACAGTTGTACATGTGGTGCTGTTGTGGATGCATATTCTTGGCCACCTGTCTCAACTGAAATAAGCTGAAATGCACCTTCTATTCTGTATTCAAAACAGGGGTCACATAACCTCTTCAGCTACCCTAAGCTCAGCAGGAGGCATTTCAGCAATTGTTATACTTCAGAGTACTACCTTCCTAAAGGAAATATCTTGTACTTAAGGAGACCCCCTACTCTTGAGGATCCTTTCCTTACATATGGATTCTTTGCTGAATAGTGTCTAGCCTTGCTTGTGCTTTTATCTTGTAGTGCTCTCTGGAACTGAGAGAAGGATGTAGGGGTTGAACCTCCCAATTTCTATCTGAAGCTACCTCTGCTTTTGCCTACCTCTGAGATCCAGGGTCCACACAAAAACTCAGTTCCAATTATGACTCAAACCCATCCTTAGATCCATCCTTACAGGGATATGACAGGGACTGGGAAATACATCAGGAGTAGATCTGATGTACCTGTTTTCTGACCAGCTTCCACTGCATGTACTTCATATTAAGACGAGGTGGGAATTATGCAGCCTTCCAAATGTTGTTGAACTGCAACTCCTTCATTCCTAGTCAGCATAAGCAGTGATGAAGAATGCTAGGAGTATTAAGGCCAACAATATCTGGAGGACACCCAATCCTCATTCCTGTTGTTAAAAGCAAGCAAAGATAGCAAATGTGTGTGGAGAATGGGGATGCAGTTGTTGCAAGAAGGCATGCTGCCCAAAGTGATTTCAGTAGCAGAATGTCTATAACCTAGCAGAGCAGTACCTAGAAAGGGGAAGGAAAAACCTAGATCTTGTGGGAAATGCAATCTAGAATAACTGGACTGTGTGCCAAGATGAGCCCACGTTTGAAGCATCCCAGAGAATAGCTATATCCAAAAATACCTCTTTTACTTGCTATACTGCAGTAAATAGTGGTGAAAAGAATTCCCTCCCAGATATCCAGCTTTGGATGTAAATCCTTGGGGTCTCTTTCCTCCTTCCTTTTAAATATGGTGGCAGATTCTGATAATCTGCTCAAAATATTATATCCTTCCCATAATAAAGGTGAAGAAGAATCTCTAGTATCGGTTTTGCTGGAAACCTCCCTAATATCTATGCTCAGTCCTTCGTTATTCCCCCTTATTTACTTCCCACTGCCACCCCTACAGACTTGAAAAACCTTGCAGGATTTTTAGAAGGATTGCAAAGAATTTTCGCAGTACATTTCCTAGACCCTTTCCTCCGTGGCTGCCTCTAAAGTGGGTCACGGATGGTGCGGGGAAGCAAGAGCTTTATGAAAAACATGTCTGGGTTTTTAAAGACACATCTGCCTGAATTTGCAGAACTGAGTCTGAATATACAGCTCAACCTAGCCAACGAAGGACCAAACTGTTTCCCCACAGATGTCTCTTGGGTGGTGCAGAAGGCAAGCACACCTTGGCATTCTAGACATGTACAGATATGCCACAGTGATGGGAGAGGGATCTTGAAATTCCTGCTGTTCTCTTTCAAAGAATGACATGCAGACAGTGGCTTAAAAGTACAGACATACATTGCTGCTCTTGCAGCATGAGAATAAAGAACATGAGATAGGGAAAAACAAAAAAAGCAAAATCCTGATTTAGCAGGTTCCCTCCTTTCTTGGGAATTAGGTTGCCTACTAGACTCTACTGTTGAAGAAACAATCCTGGATTCCTGGTTTTTATGCTTTGGTCTAATGCTATGTATTATGCATACCAAAAGATGGGAGGATATTGCAGTACTCCATCAGGAAATGAACTGGAATTTGAGGGCTGTGTAGCATAAGAATACTGTGAGCCCTCACTCTCTCATCTTCTATCCCCAGCAGGTCTAAGTCGTGCCGGCTTACCCTTTGGTCTGGTTCGACGAGAACTGGCATGCGAGGGCTATCCTATTGAGCTTCGCTGCCCAGGCAGTGATGTCATCATGGTGGAAAATGCCAACTATGGACGCACGGACGACAAGATCTGTGATGCTGACCCTTTTCAGATGGAGAACGTCCAGTGCTACCTTCCAGACGCCTTCAAAATTATGTCCCAAAGGTAAGAGACATTGTAGGATTCCAGTACAGGCTAACAAGGTGTAAAGCTACTATCACCAATTTGTAACGAAGCCGCTAATTTGCGAAGAGCCGCCACCAAATTGCGAAGAGGTGCTTAGGTTTAGGAGAGAGGAGCCACCGATTTGTAAAAGGCTCTGGTATTAATACCACTGGATGCCACCCTATTTGTGTTGTGAGGTAATTTTGTACGATTGGGTACACCGAACGTAGGATTAATGGAGATGAGGCAGTTTTAAAAACCAAAGAGAACAAGTTTATTTTGTAACAAAGCGTATGGTTGCAGTTTGATGTTAAGCTTGGCAAATACTTGGAGAACGTTACATGTAACTTGGTTGCGATACAGTTCAGACTTCCGATGTTACAACTCATAAAACTCTTGCTGTGGTGAAGCACTTTATTAAACAATGTTTTCTGTGGTGAATAGTCTCCCTGTTTGATTCTTCTGTGATCAAACACCAGATCTCTAGTTCTTTTAACTAGTGATCTAAACAAGCCTCTGTTAGTTCTTTCTAACTAAAGAAACTAATAAGGTTTTCCCCTTCAGCTTTCCTAACTGAAGAAATCTCTGACTATTCACGAACACTGTTTCTCTACTTCCCACTTTCTCTCTACATGACTGTTCACTCCTCCTAACCTAACTCTTCACTCCTCTGAGCCTAAAAACTGACTGACTCTTAACTGTCGCTTTTCAAAAACACTCTTCTCTAAGCTCCTCCCACTCCTCTGCAGCATCGTTTCCATGGTAACACACTCCTCTCAGCTAGGCCGCTCCAGCCTTAGGGCAACCAATGCAAACACAAATACAGTTATAATCATATTATTATAATCACTTCTGTACACAAGGTATTTCCTTTTTCTAGCCTTTTCTTTCAGATTGCTCTGGGGTCTGTGGATTTTTTCTCCAAAATCACTCCTGCTATTTAATATGAGGTTATGTCTCTTGAAGGCCGACATCTTATTTGTCACTTTGGCAAAATCAGAGATATGTGAATTCACAAATGCATTTTCACACTGAAGTAGTCATTATGATATAGTCGATATGATATACTATAGGTAGAGAACTTATGTGTCCATAGATTGGGTTGGGATTCAACTGCCATTAGTCCCAGGCACCATGTAATTGTTAAAAACCAAAATCCAAAAACATGTGTTTTCATGAATTCTGAAAATGTGATTAAGTATAGATATGAATTTTCACTTTGACCAGAATTTGACCTTGTCACCATCAACATCCCTCACAAGGAAAACTTTTGGCCAAGCTTTCCAGTGTTATCCAGAGAGGAAATAATGAAGATTTTGTTAGAAAACAGAGACTTGCATTTGGTTACTTAAAAAAGAAGACAAAAATAGCAGCACAGGTTATTTATTAATGTAATAAGAATAGGTTTTTATTAGATACGAGTGCCATACTGAGTAGTGTCAGAATTCATGGGTGGTGGTTCACAGGTGGTGGAAGTGGGGAGATGGGTTTGTATTTTGAATTTTGTATATTGTGTGCTACTTTCATATAACACAATAAAAAATTTAAGTAAAAATACTTTTGGATCAAACGGGCTGAAAGGATAGCTTAGTCTAGCAGCTGACTCTGAAAAGAAGGGAAAATAAGTTACGTTTTTAAAAATAAAAACCCTTTTGGCATAATATTTTGTGTTTAGAACTTTTTGTATTCATTAAGCTCCCAAACCGTTGGAAATTGCAGCTGTTAAGTACCACGCCCTTAACAGGTGTATGATTTAACCAGTATGGATATATTATGATTGACCCCAGCTTCACCACTACTCTAGAGGCACGTGACGTTCAATGGAGAGATTGCAGCTGCAAGCAGTAATATGGAATGCCGGGAGGGAAACAACTCTTAGCCTCTGTGGGGTCTATTGAAATCTTAACAGTGTCATCTATATAAATAAAAATGTAATGTTAGTATGTGCTACCATCAGAACTCAAAAACCACTGGGGGAATTGACACCAAATTTGGACACAAGACACCTAACAGTTCAATTTTTGTCCTCCACTCAAAAAAATTGATTTTGTCATTTGGGAATTGTCGTTGCTGGGATTTATAGTTTACGTACAATCAAAGAGCATTCTGAACTCCACCAATAATGGAATTGGGCCAAACTTAGCACACAGGACTCCTATGACCAACAGAAAAAAATGGAAGGGTTTGGTGGACATTGACCTTGAGTTTGGGAATTGTAGTTCACCCACATCCAGAGAGCACCGTGGACTCAATCAATGATGGATCTGGACCAAACTTGGCACGAATATTCCATATGCCCAAATGCGAACACTGGTAGAGTTTTGGGGGAAATAGACCTTGACATTTCGGAGTTGCTGGAATTTATAGTTCACCTACATTCAAAGAGCATTCTAAATCCACCAATGATGGAATTTAACCAAACATGGCATACAGAGTTCCCATGACCAACAGAAAACACTAGAAGGGTTTGGTGGACATTGACCTTGAGTTTGGGAGTTGTAGTTCACCTACATCCAGAGAGCACTGTGGACTCAAACAATGATGGATCTGGACCAAACTTGGCACAAATACCCCATATGCCCAAATATGAACACAGATGGAGTTTGGGGGAGACCTTGACATTTGGGAGTTGTAGTTACTGGGATTTATAGTTCACCTACAATCAAAGAGCATTCTGAACTCCACAAATGACAGAATTGGGGCAAACTTCCCACACAGAACCCCCATGACCAACAGAAAATACTTAAGGCCATCCAGTCCAACTCCCTTCACCAGGGCAAGAAAACGTAATCAAAGCCCTCCTGACAAAGAGCCATCCAGTCATAAATATAGATAGATAGATATGATTCTCTCTCACACACAGAGATATAGTATCATAGATTTGAAAGAGACCCTTAAAGAAGGACTATGATATGTTTCATATTCCAGAGTAGGCAAACCAGACGCTCTCCACATCAACACTGACAAAGTGTGGTGGCCCCCCGGCTGTGGAACGACCTCCCTGTTGATATTAGACAGGCGCCCTCCCTTCTATCCTTCCGCAGAAGCCTAAAGACCTGGCTATTCGAAAAGGCCTTCAATTGAATACTACGGCAATTTGGTAATTGACACTTGGGAACGGAATATGGACTATGATATTGGATATGTCTCTGTGATTTGACGGAGCGGATCATTAGTGTAATTTATAGTATTATTATTGTTCTGTGATTTTGTTGTTCTGCTTTTTGTAAACTGTGTTTTTATATGTTGTACACCGCCGCGAGTCGCCCTAGGGCTGAGAGCGGCGGTCAATAAATGCACCAAATAAATAAATAAATAAATAAATAATAAATAGAAACAACAAGAAATACTGTTTACTCACAAGCATAAAGGAATTACATATATTAGAAACCAACACTTTCTCATTACTTTATTTTCCAGATCACCAGACTGGGCCACAGCAACGCGTGGCAGGGGACAGCTAGTTACTAGTACAGTTCTAAGACTTTTTACGTTCAGAGCCCTGTTGAAACAGTGGAGGCCCACTCATCACAAAATGGTAGTTCAGTGGCAGAGTCAGTCATTCAGTGGTTGGAAATGGGGGTGGAATTTGGCGTCATCAACTGGCAACAACAGATGTAATTTTTCTCCTTGTATGAGAGAATTTCATAGTGTAGTTTTCTTCAAATTACATCCAGAGATTGACTTTGGACGTACTGTGGCAGCATTTTATGGGGACTGGTTGTATTGGACACTTCAGATGTGAATGATCTCCGGAGTATTTTTGGACTTTGCTCAAGAACAAGACAAGAGCTCATTTATTATTATTATTATTATTATTATTATTATTAACTTTATTTGTACCCCGCTAGCATCTCCCGAAGGACTCGATGCGGCTTACACAGGCCGAAGCCTCAAAACACAATACAATAGAAACATAACACAACAATAAACAAAGCAAATCAAATAATTAAGCAAAAGTAACCACAATGACAAAACATCAAGACACTATTAAAAACTGGTTCGGCCAGCGCAGTGGGGTACAGGGTTAAAAGTGCTGAGATGGCAGGAGGAACGTAGGATTAAAGTGCGGTGTGCAGCCACATTAGTTGTGCCAAAGTGCATCTAGGACTTGGGATGGGGATTCCTAATCTGCGAAGGCACATCGGAACAGCCAAGTTTTTAGGTTCCTTTTGAAAACTGCTAGAGTAGGGGCCTGACGGAGCTCTTTTGGAAGGGCATTCCAAAGTCGGGGGGCCGCCACAGAGAAAGCCCTGTCCCGTGTCCCCACCAAGCGCGCTTGCGACGTAGGTGGGATCACGAGCAGGGCCTCCCCAGATGACCGGAGCGAGCGTGTGGGTTCGTAGATGGAGATGCGGTCACGCAGGTAGGGTGGTCCCAAACCGTTCAGGGCTTTGTAGGTAAGCACCTGCACCTTGAATTGGGCTCGGAAAATAAATGGCAGCCAGTGGAGCTCCTTAAACAGGAGGGTTGACCTCTCTCTGTAATGAGCCCCAGTTAACATCCTGGCTGCTGCCCGTTGGACCAGTTGGAATTTCCGAGCCGTTTTCAAGGGCAGCCCCACGTAGAGCGCATTGCAGTAGTCCAATCTAGAGGTGACCAAGGCATGGACCACCCCGGCCAGATCAGCCTTCGCGAGGTACGGTCGCAGTTGGCGCACAAGTCTCAATTGTGCAAAAGGCCCTCCCGGATACCGCCGACACCTGAGCCTCAAGTGTGAGCGAAGAATCCAGGAGGACACCCAAACTGCGGACCTGAGACTTCAGGGGGAGTGTAACCCCGTCCAGCACAGGTAGCCACCCTATACCCCGGTCCGGTTTTCGATCGACCAGGAGGACCTCTGTCTTGTCGGGATTGATCTTCAGCTTGCTCTTCCTCATCCAGATCGACACAGCGGCCAGGCACTCGTCCAGCACCCGAGGAGCCTCCTTGGAATTAGGTGGAAAGGAGTAGTAGAGTTGTGTGTCATCTGTGTAGAGATGGCACCCAACTCCAAAACT